CATTTGTGTCATCACTCTTTGCAGAGTGCCCTGGCATAGACCAAGCTGCCACTTAGACTCCCATCCTTGGGGGGAGCCAGCATCACCTGACAGATGTGTCACCTGTAACAGCTTTTATTGCTGAAATTTAAGCTGGCAATTGAGTTATTTCTTTAAAAGGCTCCTTCATTTAAAAACTGTAGAACTATTATTGATTAAACAGTAGATCTTAAATTGATTTAACACTAAACTGTACATTGATTTACCAGGAGATGCATTTGCTACTAGATAGTTTATGATGAAATATGTTTGGTTCCCATGTGTGTGCATGTTTCTCCATTCTTGCAAACTGTATTTTACACAAAGGAGAACTGTATTTAATCATTTGATTAGTAAGAAAGCTGCTTTGAGTTTGTTACTTACACATGTATTATAATTCTAAATGAACCCCCTGAGCCAATGTTATTATATTGCCCCATGGCTGTAGATCTGTGTGGCTTCACACTGTTCAACAATTTAAATCATATAAATATAGATAACCTACATAAATATTAATTTCCAAATATGTTCACCTCTTTAACATAATTATTTGTTCAATTTGATTACAGGTCTATTACAGGTTCTATTTATATTCTATGCTATGCTTATAGTCTTCATCAAGATCCCATGAGACAGGAAGACAATGCAGAAGCCCCACTGGGGGATACCCCATAACAGGAAGTGTCTGAATAATATCATGTGTGGCAGGATCACTTGGTGTTATTTCAATTTAAAGCAGCAGATTAAAAAAGACTGAACACAACTTTTCAAATAACATTAACATATTTAAGCTTTTAGGGATTGGGTTTGCATATACTTTAGGTTATGTTTGAGAATAGAACTGGATAAAGAGTTAAATATAATTATTCCATTGGACCAATGACTTTTCGGATTACACTAATCTCATCAACTGTAAGCAGGGCAGCCATCAGGGGGGTACGGTCGATACTCATGTAAGGGGCCCGGGCAGCCTTGGGGGCCCTTTAGGAGCTAGGAAGGAAGGAAGGAAAGAATGGAGGGGAGGGATGCAGCCCTGACCAGCCCACCTGAGACCCCATCAGAGCCCACCATGGACAGTCTCAGATGGGGCTGACTCTCAGGTGGGTCCTGTGTCCATTGCGTCACTAAGCCCTGCATCCAGCGCGTCACTAAGCCCTGCGTCCAGCGGCGCGCAAGGGGGGCCCAGCCTAAAGCCGTGTAAGGGGCCAAGAAATCTTTTGGTTTCCTAACATACCAGGAGGCTGAGAAAAGGAGTTGAGTTGAAAAGTTGAGAATCTTCACTCAATAAACTGTGTGAATATTCATTTCAATTATTCAACCATATGAAAAGCAATTTTTTGTTTAGCTTTTTCATCTGCACATGATAAGTGGATGGATAAATTATGTGAATATTCCTACAATTTAACTATATTAAATGAACCCAATGAGTTTCTTTAAAGCCATACAATCCATACTCTATTATTTCAAGTGTGTTGGTTAGTGTGCACTTTTTTACCATTTGTTAAAATGCCCCCCTGTAATATGCACTAAATCAATAAGATTTAGGTTTTATTAGTTTAGAACAGCAAGAACAAACGTAAATGACTGCTTATTGTTTGATTGCATTACTATACCTTTCAAATTGATCAGCCTTTTTGTGAGTTGAGTTCCAAAGCATTTTATACAGTTATTATATTTACTATAAATTGGTTCCAAGTTGATTTTTTTACGGTTAATTAAAATTATTGCTTCTGATTTCATCCATGCTGTATTTTTATTATAGACAGTAGATCATGTTGTTTTCTTTCCACTAGGGCGTTAGAAAACTCCCTGAGCTTCAACTAAAAGCCCTCAGAACAAGTTACATTTTATGCTATGATTTTTGCTGCACAATCAGTGGTGCCTCAATTCTTTTCTAGCATTCCTGCTGTGGAAAACATTTCTACAAATATTTAATCAGTTCGCGGCAAAGGCCAATTAGCCGAAATCTGCGGGAATTCATTCCTCCATCCAGAAATTACAGCACATTTGTTCTATATACTATTGCATTTCACCTCAGGGACTATTTTCCTCCAGCAGCAAACAATTGCCTATTCAATATCAAGTGGTTTTATTCTATAAGTAAAAAATAGACTTAAATTGATGTTAGATGAAAATCATTTTCAAACCATTCCCCAATTAATATGCTATACATTTAAAAGCACTAATTTGCAACTTCATCCTTCGTAAATGCTTGCTATAGTGTCAGTCCACCACTCCAGGGGTTGTTTTAGTGTGTGGTTTTAAATCCTTCCCTACTCTATCCAGATTTTTTAAAAATGTTTTGGCTAGGCATATACTGTACTTAGGTATTACTATCTCTGCTCCACACATCTGCCATATTTAAATGAAGATATCACAGAACCAACAGATCAAGAGCTGTACCAAAACTGTGCAGTGGTAACAGTTCTGCGAGTGTTAAAGCTGAACTCCAGACATAAACATTGACTTGGCCCAGTGTAAGTACCGTATATGCAGTATGTTGTATACCTGGAAGGGCCATGGGGCCCCGTGAAAACACAGTAGTAACCACAGCTACTATGGTACTTTACAGTGATTTTCTGTACAACCACTGCAATGAATGACTTCCCCTCTGCTGTTAAAACACAGTGGCTTATGTGCTCAGCACATGGGCCATTCAGCGAATGCCTAGCCTTTTTATGCATGAATACCAGGCATGGTCTGATTACATGAGGGGCGGTGAGTGAACGGCTTCTAAAGTGTTTTACTGGCCCTTCCAGTATTTTAAATATATATATTTATGTTGGGCCAAACTGGACCAATGTAAATATATGTAATATTTATACCTGGAGTTCAGCTTTAAGCTGAAACAGCAGCAATAAACAGCAACACAGCAACAGAACCTTTAAACACTTGGTGCCCCCAGAGTTCTTGTCTAGGGATGAGGCTCGGGTTTACCACCACCATGGGTTCAAAGAGAACCCTGCAGTCCTGGAAAAAACTTTGCAGTCCTGGCAAAATAATGCAGGAATTCACTAGACCAAATTCTTTGTAATCATAATGTACTGCCTGGCCTTTGATCTTAGGCCAGCTGCTTTAGAAGGGCCAATAGAGAGGGGGCTTTTGGATAAGCCAGAGCAATCACTATAAAAGGTGCGGTCATACACAATGTGCTTTAGCTGTTATAAGGAAATCATAGGGTGTTCCGCTTACAAGCTGCATAGGGAGAGATAAGTTTTGGGCTTGTAGGCACTGGCAGGTCTGTTAAACCAGATATAAACCCTTACTGAATTTCATGAAGGTAGAATGCTGTGTATCTTAGAGAATGTGGGGGTGGGAGAAAGTTTTGTTTTTGTTTTTTTTAACTTTTTTCATCTTTGTTACATCTTAATGCTGCTGATATCCTGCAGCATCGTTACAGCATACCCCTGTCCACACTTACTACAGTGATAACAGGCTGAATGTGTTTTTTCACAAGGCATATTTTTATTGTTGCTGCAATTGCTTTTTTGACAGTCCTTTTTTAAAATGCTGAAAACAGTGGACTATGCCTGAGCAATGTGCATCAGCACAACAACATATAGTTATAGGACCTTTATATCAATATCACCGGTTGTTATTTTCAAGAAAGTTAGCCATTACGTTTAAAATAAGCTTTCCAGGTGATATCATGTTAAAGCTTACTGTGTATAACATTTTACTGGTTAGGTTTACATCTACTTTAACAGACTTTGCTTAAGTTCTTAAGTTGCAGTTTGCTTAACGCTTAAGTTGAATTGCAGGGCAAGAGTATATTTTCTTATGTGTCTTGCCTGTATGCACAGATATGAGCACCCAAAATGCTTTTAAGGACCAATATCTGTCTGCAGCAACTGATTGATAGCTAGCTCTTCAACTATTAACACTTTAGCTACTTTTGTTCTGTTTATTGTGTTATTACCCTTTTTTTTTAACTGTTTTTTATAACTGTTGATTAGAAAGCATCAGACTATTGTTGCTGACAATCCATTCCAGAGCTGCCTTTTTTCACAGCACTTCATTGCATCCTTTAAAAAAAAATATGAAAACACTGTGCACCCAAATGCCATACACACTCTCATTCCAGGTGCACTGCAACCCCCTGCCGTATCCCCATGTACCCAATTTTTACAAAGTATCAGAGCTATAGTCCTTAGGCACCAGGACAGTACATAAACGTGACCAGGTAGAATAATCTAAATTGTGGAAACGCAAACAAGGCAGTTATGCTACACTAAAAAAATCAGGTGTATTATTATTTCAAAGACACTTAAGAAAAAAATGACCAGCAGCACGACTTTTGGGAGCACATTGAAGAGGGAAAAGGTTCATACACAAAGCAGGTGTTGTGCTACACTAAGAAATAAAAAAGCTTTCTGACCCAAAAAAATGATCAGTGGCCAGGTGGCAAACCAGGCCAAATTATATGGGAGCAGTCACAGGGTAAAGAGTTAGGACAATGTGGGGCTCAGATTGTCAGACTTAGGGTGGTTATAGTGTAGCTTTCTTTTGCAGTTCCAGGTAAGCAATCTCAGGCAGCACACTGGCTGCAGGGCAAGCCAGAAGCGCATAGGCTTTGACCAGTGGTCAAGCTTGGACACCCAATAGTTCATGGGAATTCTAATTTCTAAGAGAGTCTGCATCAGCCCTGGATCCAATGTCGTCAGCAATCATGTGGTTCAGGAGTTGCCTGTGAGTGCTGCGTTCAGTCAGGCCTGCACACTTTGGTTTAAGAACTCTGAGAAGTAGTGTTGAGACTGCTGCTCCTAATTCCAGGTATCAGAGAGTTATAGGCATGTTGTTCATCGGAGCAGATCCTGCCACCATCAGGAAATATGTCAAAGAAGTTGTAACATAGCACCACCTCAAAGTTCCACATTTTAGTTTCCCTCTGGCATGGTGGCAGTAGGTCCTCCATTTTACCTTTTTTGGGGGGATCTTATAGGGTGACTACCCAATAGTAGGCTCTCTCTTTGATGACCCTGATGAAGGACCTTCTGGTGGCCAGGGTTCTCCTTGATGGACTGCTCCATCGCCAGGCTCAGTACATGTGTCAGGCAAGGTACATGTGTGATTTTTCCCAGGCGAAGGGCAGGCAGCAGGTTAGTGCCATTAACCACCTTTTGGCATGAGACTGGACAGCTGCTTGCAGCTTTGGCCCAGTGTGGCTCCAGTCCCCCAAGCATACGATCTGCAACACAGCATTTAGCCTGGTATGTTGTATATGCTCTGTGTCCAGCTTGGGATATGCTAGTTCAAAGAAGTCAAAGAATAAAGCCAGTGGAGAGGAGGGGGTACATGTGACTATGGTTTCATCATGACACAAGACATGGCGGCACCACTAGATTCAGCTTTGTGCTCTTTCCTGCATAATTTAAAGCCACCAGAAGATTTACCCAGTGTGCCATAAAGGATATGTAGTGCCCCTGCCTATGCTGTATACCACATTGCTGCTGTTAGCAGTAGATACGTTAAAATAGGCCCACACTGCAGAGCTCTTTCTTTTTGCTGCCTTTATTTTAAATATGTTGGGAATTATTGGGGATACGAGGATGGGAGGGGTTTCGGAGGATGTGGGGTTGTTTACATTTTTTAAAATTTTAAGGCAATGCAGTCTGGTACTTCAAAATATGAAACTCATAATCTGTTTTACCATTGGCCAATTTGTACAAAGTTGGGAGCTTTAGCCTTTCTTTTGTAAGAGTAAAATAGCTTTTAGATCTGTTGTGGCTGCTACTTCCAACATTCATTTCAAGCCAATTACAGTTCATGTGTCACAGTCAAAACTACCTAAATGAGTTAGAATGGGGTGCTACTGCTGTATTTAAGCCAAGCTGAATGTAAAAGTAAAAAATACATTACAGATCCAAAATATGTGATCCTAAAGTATGGTGTTACTGATGCTGTCTGTGAAAATCATACTGTTTTGAAATATCACATACAGCTTAAAGTCATCTCCCAGGCATGTCATTTAAAGTATTGGCTTTGTTAAATGATCCCCATGGCCATGCCAAACTCCATGCGCTCTATTGACAATAGCTTGCCTATTAGCCTTGAAAATGGGCAGAATTTACAAGCAGGCTTCGCTCCCCATAGACTTCAATGGGATTCACTAAAAAGTTCGGGTTTCATGAATTTCAGACAGGATTTGAGAAACCCCCGTGAATCAAACTGTCACAGATTTCCTTATATCTACTCTTGCCATATGCCAGATTTACCTTATAGTATGGCCACCTCCAGGAATGCAAGGTGCGTGTTCCCCCTCTTTGCTTCATCATCACTGCTGCCATCTTCTCCTGGCCTGTGCACAAGAGTTACAACACCTTGGCACACAGCTCTTACCTGCATGTGCAGCAGCCAGCACACAATTAGGATTTTTTTTTTAGCAGAAATGGAAAGAAGTTAAATGACAGATCAGATATACAGAGTCTCTTCTACCATAAAACTAACCAACTTTTCTACTTTAGGTTTTTTGTTCCGTTTTACTGTTTTTTACGCATTGTAATGATCTTTCACTGCTGTTTGGCAAAAGTTCTACTGCAAGTATCTGAATTTTATGCAAGGCTACTTATAGTAAATGTCTTTGTTAAAGTATAATTCATCTTCACCTATTACAGTGATTCAGGTTCATCATCTGATGAAGAATCATTGACTGAAGAAGAAACTGCAAAACTCAAGGAGCAAGTGGAGGAAAAGAAGAAATTAATCTCCACTATTAGGAATAAGCCCTGGCGCATGAAGAAAAAACTTTCTGTTTTAAGGTACCACATGATGTCATTTTTTGAAATGCCATGCAGTATTGTTTGGAGCCTCATGACAGCTATTCTGTGATACACTAAAAGTCTGTTTGAAGGACAAATAACCTGTTTTTTTCCCCCGTACTTATATAAGACATTTCCCTATGGTGGTTATTAGTCCAGTTCAAGTTCTTCTGGTACTGGGATGTCAAGGTTAAGGTTGAAGGAGTTTAATATATTGCTTTAGGGGTAAGTATTTGAGAGAGTTAATGGTGAAGTGTTGGCTCTAGGTGTTAGACTAAATGTTAGAATTTAGGGCAGCAAGTTCAGTGTTTGGTATATTAAATGGATTTTAAGGGATGGTTAAATGGTCACGTAGGACTGTTATGTGGGTAAAAGGTTTGACACCTACACTATTCGCATTGTTCTGAGTTTTGGAAACCTAACACCAAAGCCACAAGAGATAGGGTCATGACCCTGAAAAAATTTGTTCAGATAGGTCAACCTATTTGGGTTTTGGTATAAGCCCCTACTTTGGAAGAATAGAAATGAGAATACAATTTTATCATTTTTTTTTCAGAGCTACCAATTGCAGCCAAACATATAGCACTCATACAGAAAAATTCCAGCGTAAAAAACAAATCGTATGAAAGTAACACCTTAAATCTGCAGCTGGACTCTGAAACCAGAGCTGGGACATGCGAGGAGCTTCTCTTACTGTCACCTAGACACAGATCAAATTTACTGCCTTAATTAAAGCCATGTAGCAATGTAATACTTTGAGACAGCTACAAGGATTTGTATGGTCTTTGAAACAAAGCTGTTTGTCTTACTCAAACAATAAAAAATGGGGTGTTGCAATATAAATAATAGAATAATATCTGAGTAGTTGGGTAAGTGCTTAGTAGCATCAATGTCAGTCACTCACAGAGCAAAGATTGGACCTGTCAAAGGTTTTTTCTTTCTCTTTCCTTTCAGTTTTCATCCTAGTGACAGGATTTTTATTTTCATTTTTTTTTGTTTTAAATGTCTGCTTTTTGTCTTATTAGAAAGGATTCCCAGAGCACAGTGTCCTAATTGTCTGACTGATATATTGAATGGAGAAATCTGATGAGGGATAAGTCACTGTGATAAGTCAATCAATCATATGTGTAAGCAGCTTTAGCTACTGAGCTCTGTAGACAAATGTTTTTTCTCCATTACAGGAGCTAGTAGAACCTGTAAACACGTAAATGTGCTAAGAGCTCCACTTCCTAGAAAAGAAGTAACCACATACAACTATTTATTCTCAGAAATATTTTTTCCATAAGTTATAATCAGGAATAAAAACGTTTGCCTGGGTTTGGTTTGCAAACAGTTTTGTGACACTTGCTTGAAGTTTGGAAACTTTGCAGTGAACCTCACTGGAGTCTGGGTGGAGGGCAAAGCTTGGTATTCAATTCTAGCCATTTGAAGGGCTTATAAGCAAGCAATTACAAAACAAAAGGTATGGGAAGTTTGGCAATTCCACGGAGGACATGTACCAATGCCAAACTTATTAAATTAGAATAAGAAAACAGAACCTCAGCTCTCTCTAACATCTCCAACACACACTGACAATATGGCTGATGCGAGCCCATCCTTTTAAAGAAAGGATTCTTGGTTATACATTCCTACAAATTATTGGCTCCACTCATTAGTGAATTAGTGGACCAGGAGCAATGGCTTTACACTGCATTTTCACTTGTCCCTTATCTCTGGTGGCAAACCTGCAAAGGTTTTGGTCAAAAGTTCATGAAACATGAACTTTGTGTATCCTAGGAATTTGCCACAAACCCTTTGTAACAGCGAACCTGAACCTCATCCTTAGGTATAATTACTACAATTGTATTTATGAATATTGAGTTAATTGCTGAAATCAATGTGGCATGTCTAATGTCTATGCTTTAGTTTGTACATTATCATGTAGGAGGTAATAACCATAAACGTTGTTTCTCCTAGGGATGGACAAAAATTTGTGGAGAAATTTGAAGGTGCTTTGGGAAAGGGAAAGGGAAAGAAATTTTATGCCTACAAAGTCATGATGTTAAAGGTATGGAAGAACCATAAATACATGCATGAAAAAAATGCCATACATTAGCTGTTAGTGTTGCCTTTAGTGTTGATCTTGGTATACACATCCCACCAACAAATAGTTTTTTTGGTGACCACTATGTAATAAAAACAATATATTATCTGAAAAACAAACATTTGCACCATAATTGCCAATTATCAATATTATAGGGGGCCTGTGTCAGCAGGTTTTTTGTTTGCATCAGACAGGATTTGCATTTTTTACAAGTCTATGGTAATGTAAAACTAATTTAAAGCTGGTCAAATGCAGGTGGTCACCTGCAGAACAAATTGTGAAAGATCGCAGAAGCATCTCAACTGATGTCAAACAAATGCCATCAACACAAACCCGAAACTTGTTGACACAGGACCTTAAAGTGTTCTAAAAGATGACAAGAATCAACATTGCTTAGGGACATAGTTTACCAAAATTATATATACTTGTTAAACACAACATAGGGCCCGTTGAGCCTTTATCCTAGGTTTCTGGTAGGTGATTGTATGTAGAAATGGCCTTCAAACTATGTGTTTATATTCAATTTATGTTACTGAAGATAAGCGTCAAAAGCACTTTCTTTTTAAGGGTATTGTAATTATTTCAGACAATAAAGTTCTCTTAATTTAACACCATATTGATTAGACACGCCTAATAAAATGGCCCAGTTAACACATTTTTACCTTGTTACAGCACAAAATGCCAGCAACGGCAATCTATCCCTTACCTCAGAAAATGGTTGTTCAGTGAGATCTCATTTACATCCAGCTGCTTATCTTTGCATAAGCATTCACAGAGCTTCACATTCTTTAAATATACATGAATCAATGGCAGGTAGTACTACTAGCATATTCACCGCTCTGGATATTGAATGACCAGACTCACAGGGAAGGTGGGTTGAAGGGGGTGTGTGGATGTTCAACACTTTGGAGGGATTTCCAGCAAGGGGTCCCTTTGCTTAACCTAGAACACCACCTTCAGTCCTGGTTGTTTAACTAACAACCAGACCAAGTGCTTGTCAGTAGCATCTCTCTTTGATATTCACCTCAGATAGTGTACAATAATACTTCTGAGGAGTAATTTGATTGTCAGTACTACAACTCATACAATTTAAATTTTTCTTTGAGCCAGTGCTGTGCTAAATGTCCTATGAGGAATTAAGAATCTGATGACCTACCAAATAAAGTACAGCATGTGTACAAAATTGATGGAGGAGGCCAATGAAGGAACACAAAAGTTCTCTGGTGGTCAATATGTTCCCTGACAACAAAATAAATAAAATAACAATTTTTAATATGATTTACTGTACTAGTACGTTTTACACCAGACCAGAACATTTTTACTTTTAAAGTCCAGCCATAGTTTTTTTTTTTTTAGACCTAGGTGTAGTAAATACTTATGATACGTTTTTATTGCTGTCCGTGGCACTGAGATTTCACTCCAGTACCTGTCCCTGTGATAACAAGACAAGAAATGAGGGGAATAGTTATCACCTCAACTGGTAGACCCAGATAGTAATAATAGCCCAATTGAGGCTCTAACCCTGCCCCATTTTCTCTTGACAGAAGGTGAGGGGAAATTTCCTAATGAGGCACAATAAAAACAAAACAAAAAGCTTGGGCTAAAGTTGAGCTTTAGCACACAATTTGGTGAAGATTTTAGAGAGAATAAAGGAATTTTGTTTTAGGGGAAAGGACCACAGAAGTAAAACTTGCACCTTTCAGAATATCAGCCAATCCGAAATGCAATGTGTTCACATATACTACTCTATACAGCATAAATTAAATGTAGTACAGCCTGAACTTTGGAAACTCAATAGAACAATTTAGAAAATGACAAGTTTATGAAGAACTAAAAATACATACCTAAGATATTCTAACTGTCAAATTGTATGTTGTTTTGCATAAATAGAAAATGCTTTCTGAGAAAGGTAGATCATTACTTGTTAATATTCTAAATTATAATGAATATAAGGCTGGGGCCATGCTTTTAAGCACTGATAAGTATAATCACAGTGTCACAGTTATTTATTCTAGAAATCCCAAGGGAAAAAAACATAAATGATAAACATCGGTTTGGTTAATGATCATGGTAAAGTATATAATGAAAAGGTGTTGTTTAAAGGGATTTTCTACTTGCACGTTTCTCAGAAAACCAGTTTGTTTAATAATTTGTTTTGGGTATCAGGGAACTTGCACGAATACGAGTATTCATGCAAATGCTTAGTATCAGCACCAATACTGGCATCGGTATCGGTGCATAACTACTAACAATATTGTCGGTATCCACCCCACTACCTGACTGACAGCTGGTTCTGCCTCTCTAGAGGCAGAGCCAGGTGTGCCTGCCCCCTCCCCTGTCCGTCTTTCCAGTCAGCGCTGGAGGAACAGAGAGGGAAGGGGTGGAATCCCTGTAGGAGAAGATTGTGTAGGAATTCTTTGCAAGGAGAAGATCATGAACTGAGTGATTAGCGGTATGTGATCACTTAGTGATTGATCTATAGAGCCGACGTGTGACAGCTGCAGTGTCGCACATCGACTCTAACATCGACTCTAACTTTTCACTCATCCATATTTCTTTTTTAATTGCTGATGATTAAACAGAATCTGTGCCTAGTCACTGTATACACTGCACATGTATGCCACAGTTCTTACCCACTAAATACTGTGCTACAAGTGACAGACTCACAGATACATAGAAAACTCCGGGACAAAGAATTTTTTTTTCATTGTTTCCATTACACATGCAGTTCTTGCACACGAAAAGATATTACTTTGTCTGTCTGAGCAGACAAAGAAGAACTTTATTAAATCCAGCAACTGTTAACACAATGAACACTTTGGTCATTGCTACGTAATGTACAATATAATGTAAAGTTTGCAAGGGTCAGGAGCAAGTAACATACAACACAACTTATATAGTGCGGCGCTAAGGGTAAGCCCCCCATTTACATCAAGAGTTCCCATCAGAGTTCCCCCTTACATCAGTCTCCAGAGTTACCCCTTTACATCAGAGTCCCTAGAGTTCTTCCTTACATCAGAGTCCCCATTCTTAGCAGAGCAGTCAGCAAGGTGGAAGCTGGGAGGAGGAGAACTGGGAAGAGGTCTGGAGGAGGAGGATTCTTCCTCTGCTGGGACAAGCACGTCATCAGTTGCTAGGAAGTGGTGATACAATGCTGCTCTTCCCTGTCCTTGCAGTCTCTGTAAGTTGTTGAACTTTCACAGACCCCCTTCAAACCATACCCTTAGCAACCTGTGGCCCTCTGGCCAGCATCCAGTACAGATCACTGATGTCACTGGTTGCCAGTAGCTGTTCGGGATGCCGGTCAAAGGTACTGTGCACCCACCCCCTCTCCCAACCCGGTAACATGCTCCTCCAACCCCCCCACCCCCATTACATGCACCCCCAATCAAACCTTCCACACGCGGCCTCAGATGGCAAAAACTGTAGGGACACCGCTGCTGGATATGCAACTGCCCATAACATAAAGTGCCCAAACAAACACCTTTATATCAATATGTTGAGGCTGATATGAGTTTTAGTGGCTGAGTTTATATCTGCTTTAACAATATATGCTTGAGTTCTTTGGACTGCGGTGCTGGGACATTTTCTTTTGTGCCCCGCCTGTGTGCACAAATTTGCATTGTTTGTAAAAGTAAATAAACAAATAAATACAAGAACAGCGTGCACTTAACTGTTCACTGCCATAGCAAGCAATTAGCAATCATCTACTTCATGGCCCTTGAACTGTGGTCAGGTGGCTTTTGAAGAGCTAACAATTGGGTTTTTCTTATGTGCTACCCCCTTTCCTAGTAAGGGTTCCCAGCAGCCTTTTGTCAGTGTGTGTGTGTGGAGAGAGACTTGGAGTACAATGGGCCAGCTAAAAGAGTGTTTTTTGCAGGTATACAGTCCTCCTAACCTGTGCTTTATACAGTACTATAAAGCTCTGCATTGCGCTAAATTATTACAGCGAATTGCTGTGTGGTGAGCTACATAGTCTACCCCCCCCCCCC